ATCCTCAGCCGGAGGCCACGCCCCCTCCTTTCGCGACCGGCCTGTCTGATTAGCAGATACTCGCCTTCCTAGATAGGCTCCATTCCCCTTTCTTGCGGCAAAGCCCTCCCCACGAGTTCTCTGATTGGCCAGAAGGCTCTGCCCGCGGAGGGCCATGCCGAGCCCCTTCTGGAATGAACCTGGAGAGACGTTTCCTCTGGCCAGTCCAAAGAGCTTTGTCTCCGGACTCCCTGGTGATTGGATAGCAAGAATGTCGCCGTCGTCCGGAGATCCTGCGGTCGCTTAAGTTGTGAGCATTGGTTCACTGCAGTCGTTTTCCCCGCTTTCCTTGCTGTTTTGGAATAAAACTTACAGAGGTGTAGTGTATCGAATCCGCCAAATGAATTTCAAGTCTACATCAGTGATGTTCCGGCTTACTATTTTAAATACAAACAAAAATGAGGCAAGCCAAGTGTTAACAGGCACTTAGGAATAGATTTGAATGTTTGATCGTAAAAGGCTTTGTCGCCCTCATTGTTTCCCAGACTTTTTGGTTTGTTTCTTTGTGTTTCTAACAGAATATCAGAAGCCCTTAAGAGAATTCTTTTACCCACTCTCCCAAAGTAGCGATAAATCCCCTCATTTTTAGTGAAGATTGCAAAGAAAATTCATTTAAATTCGACATTTGGCACCAACCTCTGTGTTAGACACAGATGAATAAGACAAGTCCCAGCTCTCAAGAAATTCAGTATAATGGGGAAAAAAATTATTATTTGCAGTTAATTTTTTTGGCATCAGACCCTGCCTAAGCATTAATCTCATCAACAGGTAAGGCTCTTTACCCTCTTCATCTCTATGACATCCCCCCTCCCACCTCCAAAACCACTCCAAAGAAACAAAATCCAAGCGAAAACAAATGTGCCTATGTTAGGTAGTTAGATCGAAATGAGCTCTGGACAGGGGGAGAGGAAGGGGAAAGGAACAATCCAGAACGCAAGGAACCTGAGCTATCAATTAACCAGAGCACAAGGACCCTGAGTTGTCAATCAATCAACCAATCACCCTGAAACCAGGATATAAAAATAGGAAAAAGGAGGGCGCCATTTTTCCTCTCTTGGATTGGCCTGCTCCCAATTCTCGGGAGTGCACCATCTTTCACTATTTTTCTTTTTTTTACTTTGCTAATAAAAATCTTGCTTATATCACGCTTTTTGTCTCTCATCAAAAATCTTTTTTTCAGGTGACTAATAACTGAGGTAATTTTATTTTCCTTTTCCCGGTAACACTTTTGTGAACATAGGTCAGGACAAGGCCTGTGGCCTCATCTCCAACCAGATTGCCATCCTTAAGCCTATCCAGTCCAGCAGCGCGGGAGCCACCACTAAGCTGCATTATCCTGGGTTTCCAAGAAGAAGAGCAGATGCAAGTAATTTGCTCAGGTCTCATAAGTCACTGATAGAATGGGGATTCCAACCCAGGTGTGTCTGATTCCAAAGCCCATGTTCTGAACATTTATTATATAAATTAGGAAGGAGTACAGTGAAAGGGTGGTCAGTTCTACTTGGGAAGGCCAGCACTCCTTAGGGAGGTGCTGGGAATGAAGTTAACTGTGGGGACAAATAATATCACTTTATATGTCACAGCAGTTTTTACTTTTCAAAGTGTAATGGCAGGGCAGATTTTTACAGTCTGAACACATTTTTTACTTTCTTATTTTTCAAAGGACTTTCAACTTTCCCTGATCTTCCACCAGAGTCATTATATTAGCACGGGTGCCTGTGGCCAGGGCTTGCTTCTTGGACACACAACTAGTGCAATCGTGTAGGGCCTGCCCTTAGAAGGCCTTGGGGTTTGATGCTCTGCACTTTTGGCCTTCAAATTCTGAATCATTTCATCTTTAAATTTGTGTTTTTTAAGTGAAATTTGATGGGACGATGGAGCAAGCCCAGGGGTCTTGGGGCCTCAGCTCCTGTGCAGTCCCACTTTCTGTTGGGGGCCCACTGTGCCCTGGCCCTCCCCAGCCAAACCTAAGACTGCTGCTGATCTGTGTCAGGGCAGCAAAGTGGTCTCATTGCCAGAGGAAGAGAGTTGTGTTCCTTCATGGCTGTCTACCCCGTGCCCCCATGGGTGCCTGGACACTGACAAGGAGATGGTCAGGGACAATCAATAGCCCCCAGTCCCTTCCAGTGTATCTAGATGTGGTCAGAAGCCATCCCTGCCCTAGCTGGCAGCTCCATGGCAACTGGCCAGGGCCTCTCAACTGCTGTGGATTGAATGTGTCCCGTATCCCTGCAGATACCGAATGTGTCCAGGCACAGGGGCTCCAATCCCATAGAGGTCGCCCCCTACACCCTGCCGTGGGAAGGGGAATTGACTCCCCTTTCCTGGGCCAGGACTACATCTTCTTTTTGCACTGGCGCTGACTATGCCCTTTATTATCGGTGTCCTTGGGCAAGTTACTTCATCTCTCTGTGCCTCTATTTCTACCTAGGATGAAAGTCAGAGCAATAATGATTATGTCACAGTGGTTGAGGTTGGTTATAAAGGTTAAACAAGGTAATCCAAGTGATGCCTGGTGGGCAGCAGGTACTAATTAGGTGCTGGCTGACCTTAGTACAGTCCCACTGAGCAGGCATAACTTGCCCCTTTTCCAGGACTGTAGGAAGAGAAGCAGAGTGACTTCTTCCAATGGTCAGTTCTAAGACTTTGTTAAACAAAGAGGTTTTGTTTGTTTCCTTGTTGGTTTCTGTTTTTAATTTCTGGCCCAATCCTTGGACTAGAAATAATGGCTTTGATTTCTAATCCACCGCATCCAGTTTCCCACCCTTCAAACCATCCTGAGTTATATATAATAATTAATTTATCCAGCTCTTCAGCACCCATTTTGTGATCAAATGGGTTTGCAATTAGATGATTCTGGAAACTTGACACAACCACTGCATCCATACCCTCTCGGAAATCTATAATAACCAGCACATGGGAAACGTTTGTGAAGATTGAAAGGCTGGTAGCCTCCAGGACACTTTCGACTCTTTCAGTGATAAAAATGCACTTTCTTAAAGGAGCAGTAAGGGAATGAAGGCAGGGGATAAGCCAACATCTGTTTCCATCTTGCTCTCCAACTATCAGCCTATTTTCACTTGATTGTTAGGGTGTGGATCAAACCTCCTTGGGAGAGTCCCTCCCACCTGACTGAAAAATTCTTGTCATGCTGATGTCAAATAGTTCTCCATCTATTAATAAACACAAATGGTAGCCCCAGACTTTGAAATATTTTAATTTACACACAATATTTAAGGTCACTCCTTTCTCCTAATACTGCCCTAAGCTTCATTGGAGAATTATAAATAGGAACAAATCTTAGCTCACATAGAAACGAGCTCCAACCAAAGGCAGTGCGGTTTCTTCCCACAGACAACTGAAGCCAACAGCGTCCTCCCACGTAGGGGCAACAGTTTCCCTCTAGCAGGTAGTTAAAGCTGGATATTTGCATTTCCTCCTCTCTGGAGTCACTTGAGGCTGCCGACTTGTGTGCGTGTTCACCTTTATTTGACAGGTACCAGGCACATAGTAGGGATTCAGTAAATGATTGCAGCTGAGTGAAAGGGTATAGGATGAAAAATGGCCTGGGCAGCAATTGATTTGTAAGTGGTGGAAGCAAGAATTCAGACCTTAGCACGTGGTGGGAGGGTAGGGCTCATTGGTAGAGTGTGTGCTTTGCATGCAAGAGGTCCTGGGTTCTAATCCCCAGTACCTCCATTAGGGGAAAAAACCCTCTAGCGTCCAGGCTAGGGCCTGCCCTCTTCTTTCACTGAAAATAGAAAATCCTTAGCTTCCTGCAGCAACCATGAGTCTTCAAGCCCTCCTCCGAGGGTGGTGAGGAATAGACCTAGATTAAGAAGCACTTCGATTTTTCTCAGTCTCGTGGTGTCATAATGTGAGGGCCTGCTGTAGAGACTCAGTGACTGTAGACAAGGACTTCCTGGTGATTTTTTTTTCTTTCACACACGCACAGCCTCAACTGATCACATGGTAGAGGGCCCGATGAGTCTATTCCCTGATCTGTAGTGTGTCTTCTTCAAAACATAAGTTAATATTTTAACACAAGAAACTAATTCAAAAAGATGCATGCACCCCAATTTCATAGCAGCACTGTTTACAATAGCCAAGACATGGAAGGAACCTAAATGTCCATTGACAGATGACTGGATAAAGAAGATGTGAGATATATATATATATATTTATATTTTTATATATGTATTTATTATTTATAAATATATATATATTTATACACAGGCACATACATACACACATACATATAATGGAATACTACTCAGCCATTAAAAAGAGTAAAATAATGCCATTTGCAGCAACATGGATGTACCTGCAGATTGTCATACTAAGTGAAGAAAGCCAGAAAGAGAAAGAAAAATACTGTATGACATCACTTATATGAGGAATCTAAAAAAACGAGACAAATGAATTAATTTACAAAACAGAAATAGACTCACAGACATAGAAAACAAATTTGTGGTTACCAGGAGGGAAAGGAGTGAGTGGAGGCATAAATTGGGAGTTTGGGATTTGCAGATACTAACTACTTTATATAAAAGTGCTATAAAGGTCCTACTTTATAGCACAGGGAACTATATTTAATACCTTGTAATGATCTATAATGAAAAATATGAAAAGGAATATATATATGTATAATTGAATTACTATGCTGTACACCAGAAATTAACATGACATTGTAAACCAACTGTACTTCAATTTAAAAAAAAGTTAATGGTCTGATTCATCTATTCATTAAATAAAGGTTTACTGATGGTCTGCTGTGACTGTCTTCCAGCATCTTCCAGCCTCTTTCAATAAGACAGGTAGTTCTTGAAAGCAGGGATGGTCTCCTCTATAACTAGCCCCTAACTATGTATTGCATGCTACAGTATTAAGTGAGCCCTCAGTGTAATGGATCAGAGAAGGACTAGAGAAGCAGGGATTTTCATCCATTACCTGGGGGAGGGATGTAAATTGATGGGTCAAGAGGGAGGGCAGTTGTGCAATAGCCATCAAAACTTGTGTCAGGAATGTCAATTCTAAAAATGTATGCTGCAGAGACACTTACACATGTGAAATACCACATGTCCAAGCTTACTCTCTACAGCAATTTTTGTAACAAC